GTACAAGGAGACTAAGTGGTGGCAGATTGGCTGCAGGAAATGAGCGCCAGTAACCAGCACGGGAGCTGAAACAAGGCTGCGGGGGATCGGTGGCCGAGTGGTCTAGCGCACACCAGCTCGGAGCACGTGGAGCGAAAGCTCGCGCTGCAGAACCCAGGGATCCTGGGTTCGAGCCCCACCCCTGCCCGTTTCGATCTGGATGAGCATCGTACCGGCGTGCGGTCGTGTATCACTACTGCGTGATGCACGTTAAAGACCCCAGGCTAGCGGCTGTACCGCACTGGCTAAATTTCTCATCTACAGCTGGGAGACTCGTCGCCCCTGTGAGGCAGACCAAGTTCTAGGCTGTATAAACACACACACAACCCAATTAAAAAAAAAAAAAAAAAACAAGGCTGCCCACTATCTTCATTGTTATTCAGGTTGTACATCGCAGGAATAGAAATGAAGCTGCAAGATAGCTCTTGTCCCTGTTTTAATTGTTTATTCTTTCTTCATCCATGACTTTAACCAACACGCTCTTCTACCAAGCAAGATAGCTCCCATTGCTGTGTTGTCCCTGTTTTAATTGTTTATTCTTTCTTCATCCATGACTTTAACCAACACGCTCTTCTACCAAGCAAGATAGCTCCCATTGCTTTTCCCTGCAGTATATGGAAGAGCTAAGGGCCAGGAATGGGAGAAGGGTCCCGGGTCTGCTCAATGCAGGCGACATCGTACTGATGGCGGACTTCCTACAGGACCCACTTGCCCTCATGACCGAGTGTGGGCAAATAAGGGCAGCCCTGAGGCTGAGATTCAGCGCCCGGAAATCGGAACATATGAGCTCCGGGCGTGGAATAGAACACGAGACCGACGACCTGATCATCCAGGTAACCTAGTGCCGTGGGAGGAACAATACAAGTATCTGCAGGGGTGTGCATCCACACGGGGCAGAGCTACCTGATAGACCAAGATGCTTGGCTCCAGGCAAAGAAAAGGAAGAGCAGCGGAATCGCTACGGCCAGGGCCCTTTGTGGATTCAACCGGTACGAAGTGGCCCGCGCACAGTGGCGGATCCAAGGGGGGGGGCGGTGGGGGCGATCGCCCCCCCCCCCCCCCCCCCCAAACGCCGCGCCATTTTTTTTTTTTTTTTTTGTGGAGCCATTGTTTTTTTAATATTTTTTGTCTTTTTGCTCGCTTTTGAAGCACATCCCTTGGTACGCCAAAAAGTGTGGCGGCAACGCGAAGGGAGTGACGCTGTTGCTTCACTTTCAAGAGCATTCGTAGTGTTACTTATGCGCCATGAAGCCCCTGTTGTCTTTCTTTTGTACGTTTTGATCCTCCTAGACACCGAGAGGAAAATATGACTCAGGAACAACCAGGAAACTGGTACATTATTGACACACGCGTCATACAATGCCACATTGTCGCGTTTTGTCTCGCGCGTATCCCGTTACGCGAATAATTATTTCCGTAAAAAAAAGCACGCTGAACACTCAAATTTGGTCTGCATGAAGCGAATAAAACTTAGGAATGAAATTAAATTATACCTTGGTAGAAAGTCCGTGCCAACCGAGGCGTACTTCTCGAAGCGAAATCTCGCGCGGAATTATGCACCTCTTTGACGGGCGGTAAACTCGGCAATCTCAAATCGGCATTTTTTTTTCTCCGGAAAGGACTTGCCAAAGGCAGTCATTTATGGCTCACGCAAAGTGAACAGGCTAAGGCACGTCTCAGTGAAGCTTGAGACTTGTGTCTAGGTGATAGCTGGCACTAAACAAAAACTTTCGTTGGATGCCTTCACTCCAACTGTCGCATTTTGCCCCGCGTCTCATTTGGCCCATCTTACCCTACTTCACTTTGGACAAAAGCAATCTATTAGTTTTGGAGCTTCCCTCACACGAGTGTTCGTGCGGTCGAGGTGTTTTTTGACATATCAGTAGTAGTAACCAGGCATTGTGCGCAGCTTTTATCGGCGCCCAGCATGCTCGGGCTCACAAGCGCTTAGCTTCGAAAGCATACACTGTAAAAAGTAACCGTCAAATTTACGGCGCTATACGCTAATAAAAACTACAAGTACGCCGTGAAGAGGAATTATCTGAAATGCACCGCAAACGAGCAAAAAAACCGAGAGGGAAACGCAAAACTTCATGGAGCAAGAAAACAGAAAGAAAAGACGCGCTTCGCTAATTGGTCACCACTCTTGACCTTTCGGAAGCTGCGGGAACCCAGAGAGTCTCCTCTCGCCCCTTCACCTCCTTTCATTTGTCCGCGCCAGCCGCGCCAACGCAGAGCGTAACTGCCTTAACTGAAAAAGGAAAAAAAAGAGAACTAAGAGCAAACAGTAGAGCAACAATGCGACTAGCTAGAAGCATAAACAAAAGAAAGGAACGTTGGTTGGGACAACGCGGAAAGAAGTGGAAAAAGCTGACGTTCAGTTCATTTTCCCGCCTTCCCACCCGTCTCCGCGCAATTTTGTCCTCGTTCGTTTGTGGCATTCCTGGATTTTTGTGCACCTGAAAATTTGGAGCGGAAGGCAACTGGATACTCGAGGCAGGTATTTCACTATCAATCTGCTGCTTGATTGGCAAGGATAGTGTAATGGTGGCATAAATACAACACTCTAAAAGATGTTTACTTGCAGAATTTGTAGTTTCTGTTCAAGCACGCTTGATGGTTGTGCAATTCGATGAGCACGTATTCAGCTCTCGAATTCTTCAGTGTGTGGACGAAGGATGCTGTCGCCAGTTTGTTGTTACGTATGATACTCTCAGGTGTCATATTTTGAGAAGACATAGACATTGGTACGCCTAAGGGAAGTTTGGTTTGTTTCGAGGAGTTTGGAAAGCTTTCAGTGCACTTTGCCACCATGCCTAGAGGAGTGCCACACAAGGGAGGCTTTGCTAAAACATCTAAAAGGCCACATCACCGACAGCATTTTGTTTTTGTGTTCGTGCTCCAACTGTCAGAAAGTGTGAAATCATAGTTCGACCACGGCACATTTGAACTGGGCGCATTTACGAGTGACGGGTTTCTTGGGCGACGGCGCATCGCCTGCAGGCCCGCTTCAGGTTGAGGACTCTTCGACTCGGTCGACTAGTGCGGATTCTAATGAAGACGGTGCTGTTAACGTGATGCAATATCCTAATGATAACTACGACGTGTTAATGTCTCTGTCTGCAGGAGAAAAAAGGAAGGCCATAAAATACGACCTTGTTTTTTTTTTGTACCTGAAGTTCAACGGAACGCTTCTTATGCCGGTATCAACAGTTCAAAAAACCATTTATGAATTTCAACGTCGGCATTTCTTATACAAACAATACATGTTCGGCCAACTTGCTGAAAGCCTTCAAAACGTGCTTGGTTCAGTCGAGGTTCATAACATCATTGAGTTCATAACATCACTATACAATGATGTTATGAACCTGAATACTACCACCTTTCTCGTCGTTTAAATTGCACCGTAAACATAACGGCGCGCTGTAAATTTTTTTTACCGCAAATTTGAAGGCCGACCGTAGATTTCTACGGTCCCCGTTTAAATTTATCGTAAACCAGATTTACAGTGCACCGTTATTTTTACTGTACAAGTTTGGCAGCATCAGCTGCCTGGTATTTGACCGTAAATTTTACGGTCAAATTTACAGTCAGGACGCTACAGTGTAGCGTCCTGACTGGTGCTCCATACGAGCAGGCACGTATGGCGTGCACGTGAATATAGCTTTGGTAAGCTTGCAATTGCACGTGATTTTCCGCACGAGCAGAGACATTGCGTTGCCAAGATGCCCAGCTTTCTGAGGCTATGCAGTCAAAAGTACGGGAGCGTGTGCCTTGGTGTGCATAGCCACAGAAAGTTCAAAGAGTTCATCCCCTACAGGTAAACCGATACAAAAGCTCTCAAGATATATATTATGTTATCAGAGTTCAGTAAAAACGATGACTCCACAAAAAATATAAACACTCCCCCCCCCCCCCCCCCCCCCCCCCCCCCCCCCGTTTTACGCCGAGGAACCGCCCCGCCCAAAATGGAGGTCTGGATCCGCCCCTGCCCGCGCAGTGTGGAAAATGGCCACGGTGCTGGGGAATGCGTTCGGAAATGGCGTGCTGTGTCGTTCGTTACAAGCCCGGGAATGCCTCGAAGTACGAAAGAGCGAAGTGGGGTGGGCAACTCTAGGAGCCAGCAGAGGAGCACCGAACGAGGCCGCTAGGGTACAAGGGGTGGGCCAGTTTCAATGCCAGGGAGGCCCGAGCAAAGCTAAGTTTGAAGCGGCGCCTCAGCAGGATGTGGGAAGGGCTTTGGGCGAAACATGTACAAATATATACATCTGAAGAGCATCTTGACCCGATAGGGGCATCGAACACGGCAGCTCTCCCGGCGGCCCACTCCTCAAAAGCGCCCAAACAACAGCAAGAGGGACGAGATTGTGGCACCTAAGTCGGCGATGAGCCTGTGCAGAAGCAGGAGGTCAAGAGTGTGAACTTCCTTGATAAGAGCAGGAATAGTACACTATTCTTTGACTCCCAAAGCGGGATGTTGCGGGCTCGGGTACATTGAGCAAAATACTCAGATGTGGACGTGAAATGCACCGGGTGCTCAAAAGGAGTCGCGGAGACGCCGAAACATGTCATATTCGAGTGCAGTCGGAAGTGGCGTGTGGCGGTAGCATGGCGGTGGCCCTAGGTCGGCTTCGTCCTCGTTCCAGTCCCGGAAGGACTGGAACGAGGACGAAGCCGAGCAGCGAGCCGGAGGAGGCCCACCGATGACACCACTTAAAGCAACGAAACGCAAGCGGAGAAAATCAAGAAAAATGATACGTGTGGTATAAATCCAGGAGCCTAGTAGAGATACCCCGACACAAAAGGGTTGGCTCTAAATCCAAAGACAGATCCGGCGATGGAAACACATACACACTCCAACATAGAAAAGGCGGCCTCTAGAGGCAGCACTCACAAATGCCTATATTTCCTCACAAATGTCTCCTTTCATCATAAATACGGTATCAGGGCCGTGAAGTTTATTAACAGCCGACGACGGTCCGCTTGGGCGCCTGGAACTTGGCCAGCTTGAGCAGTGCGTGCTCCAGGGTGACCTCGCTGACCAGACAGTTCTGGGATAGTGGCTCCAGCTGCTGCCTCAGCTCGTGGATCTTGCGCACGATCTCGCTCCACGGCTCGGAGACCTCCAGGTCGAACTCTACCTCGGTACCCAGTCGGCCGACGAAGGTCGCCCTGCACGGGAAACGAGGGCGTTACTGTGGTGCCTGACGTGGCGTTCTAGCACTGAAATGCAGTAACACTTTTTATCTGGTTCTCGCTACTGATGGGCCTGTTGGAAAGATTAAAGTTGATAATCCACGCACACAGAGTTTTCTATGTATGTAAATATAAAAACTGCATCAAAGCTAGTTCACTTTGCGACAGCTGTGCGCGGGCGCCGCCATAACCCACTTTCAGTTTTTGTTTCCTCCTATTCCATTTACTTCACTAAATCATTACCATAACAGGCCAGGTCATCGCCATTTTAGATTCTGCTGTGCCCTCCACAGCATACGATTTTCTGGTAGCTCGTCAACACCCGTTTCGGTGGCCCGGTATCTCCGTAGGACAAGAAAAGGTTAGCAATGGCGGCTGTAATCTAGCACGTGTGTAAAGCGCCATATTTGAGTGCTCTATTCAGAGTGCGTGCTTAGAACAAGCTCACAATAATAAGCTGATGAGGACGGAAATCTCGATAATATGTAATTAACGATGCAAAAGAACTGTAAAATATCGCCGTCAGCACACGCTCAACAGGCGCGCACTCAACTATGGCAGCTATACCCCCTATAGGCGTTTCTACTGCTTACTACCATCACAATCCACACGTGCTAAATCACATACAAGCCAGCGCTCGCTCGCAATTCCGGCCGGCCAGAAAGTGCGCGCGTATAGCACACAAGCACAGCAATGAATCGCCCTCATATGCTTTTATGGAAACCTGTATAGTTCGTGGTAAAGCTCCTTGATGTGTTTTGTCTTACCAGTAGCGTCAAATGCGCCAGTGCACCAGGCGCATGACTCGTGCGGCCCTTGGAAGCAAAAGGCGGCGATGCACTCGAGTGGCCCTAGAAAGCGAATACCGCCGGAGATCCCGCAGGTGGCACGTGCATTGTACTTTGGCCAAACAATAATTGGCGGTGTTTGTCAGAAACGTAAAGCGTCAATTTTATCACGGGACTTTATTTCATGCTAAAGTTGCTGGATCGATCGTGGGAAAGTAGCACCATTGCCCTCGCTGCGTGCTAGACAGACACAAACAGATACAAACACATTCGGTGGTGCCGCAACCGTCCAGGGTAGAATAAAGATATTAATTATTACTTTTATTCTACGGAACACAAACGTTCCTGCAATCTTCTGTGTGCAAACTTCGTGCACACACAAAGTGCGTATGCTGGTCAGACAAGTCAACACATTTCTTCAGTTGTGACCTCCTTTGTCTGTGAGAGTCATGCCCTCCTTTGTCTGTGACCTCCTTTGTCTGTGAGAGTCGTGCGAACATCGGCGGTGCTGCGAGGCCTAACCGCGATGGCGTCGTCTGTAGTCACGCCAGCAACGCTGCGGACCTCTGCGGCCTTCTATCCGGCTCGACATCTTCCCGAGGAGCCAGCCGCCTCCCTTCTTGTTGACCTTGGCGCCGCCGTGGAGTCCATACGGAGCCTGCTCCTCGATGCTATGGAGGGAATTTCGTTCCTGACTAGATCGCCGCCCTCAGAGACAAAAACGCACGCCTCCGTCCGAGCAAAGGAGCGACACCGAGCTTCAGGCGGGTGCCATGGCCATATTGCGGTTTGAGGGCTGGGGTCTGCGTGAAGCGCTCGGTCAGCGCCGTCAGCAGGACGCTCTCGATCAGCGTCGGAAACCAATGGATAGGGCTCCGGGAGGGCCTTTGGGAAAAGACACTTATGCTGTCGCTGAACGCAGCTCTATCCCCCAAGTTTTTCCCACGAAAGTTGTTGCGGCATCTCTTTTTTCGGATAACCAGAATAATGCTTTAGCGAAAGACAACGTGCCTTCCAGTGGCTTCAATTCTGCACGACCAAAACCTCGACCACACAGCTTACTGGGGAGTCCGAAACCTGCAAGCTGATCGTTGCCCCTCCATCAAATCGACGAAGAGCCCTGTTCGTCACCAAGCAGAACCCGGACACTAGCTGCGCAGACATCAGTTCTCATCTCTCTTCCGTCAGAGTTGAGAAAGTGGAGTGCCGGAAACTGAAGACGCGCTACGACTCTTACGCTTACTTCCATGTGTCCGTGGCTGCGGTAAACCTCGACAAGCTTTCTGATCCCGCCGTGTGGGCCAAATACTGCCTTCTTGAAGCATTTCGAGGCGCCCTTCGCGAAGACCTGCTTCATGCATCCGAGGCAGCCGCTGCCGCCGCCTCGACCGTTGGGGAAACTAAGGATGAGTCACATTGATATATTCTATCAAAACGGTCGCGGCCTGCGTACAAAATCCGATCGTTTTTTTTTTTCTCTAATGTTACCTTGTCTAATTACTCTTTCTTTTTTTAATCTGAAACGTGGTTATGTTTTAGCATCGGCTCTTCCGGTTACTTCCCTCCCTCTTCTGAGGTGCACCATCGCGATAGAGATTTTACCCCGCGGAGCAGCACGGAAGGCGGTGTGTTGGTCGCAGTCGACAGGCGCTATCGCTGAAAATAGACGCGAAGACTTGGATAAATTTCCTCAGAACGTATGGGTCCAGATTGAGTTGGCAAAGGAACTTCAAAATGGTGGATACTTGGGCTAGTTGGTGGTTGCTATACATAATTAAACAGCGCACAAGGAGAGGGACAGAAAAGGAAGACAGAACAGGCAAGCGCTGACTCGCAACTGACGATTTACTATGAAAAGGAGAAGGAAGAAAACTACACACATGAACATATATCGGAAAAGAGAAAGATGTGAAAACGCTAATAAATTAAATAAAATTACACCTAAAATAATTATAGCTGAAAAAGGAAAACAAAATAAAATGAAAATCAATCTCTCAAAGTGCTAGGCATGTCCAGTGCCGGCACTCCGAAGCCTTGACCATACACCTATTTGTGCGCAGCTGCCCCCATAAACTCATACTCGCTGTCTTGTAGTGTTAATGATGGCTGGCTCACACATTTGGATTCGAGCTTTCTTATCCAAAAGGCTTCCACTATTTCTCTTGTTGTTTTCTCTTTATGGGAAGCTAGAACAGTTGTTGCACAAAAATCTGGATCACATCCACAGGTTCTGCAGTGGATGGCTAGGTGGCTTCCAGTGGTGGTTTGAAGAGACTGTTTATGTTCCCTCAAGCGGTCGTTGAGGCAACGCCCAGTCTGTCCGACATAGGTTTTCCCGCAGGACAGAGGAAGATGGTAAACCACTTGTAGAATGCAAGACACAAAGTGCACCTTGTGGTTTTTCATGCAGCAAGCCCTCCTGTCATTGTTCTTGTCCACAAGCGTGCAAATTCTACCCAGTTTGTTTGGGGCTGAAAACACCATGGGCACGTTGTATCTATTGGCAACATTTTTTAAGTTGTGCGACGTCTTGTGGATGTATGGTATAACTAGTGGACGGATATTGGTAAGGTCTTTGCTCTTTTTTCTTTTGGTCGATCCTTTACAGGTTTGTATCAGAGTGCCCGCAACTTCACTTAACATGGCTGATGGAAAGCCGGATCTTGAGAGTTTGTTTACTTGAGTGCTGAAACTCTGTTCGATGGTGTGGTGACAGGATTTTTTCAAAGCTGAATACATGCACGAACTGGCTATCCCTCTTTTTATTAATTTTGAATGGGCAGATTGGTAATTAAGAATTTCTTTTTTGGAGCGTGGTTGGTAGGACCAACAAATGTGGTGATCTGAGATTTTTATAGATAGGTCCAGGAACTGCAGCACATTTAGAATAGGTTGTTCATACGTAAAACTCAGACCTTTACCGCTTCTAGAGAAAACACTCAGGATTGTATCTATTAAGTCTTCTGTTTGTTCTTCTTGGAGGATAATAAGAAAGTCATCAACGTACCTGAAGACTTTTATAATAGACATAGTGCTCAAAAGCGGTGCGAGGATCATGTCTACGCCTCCCAGAAAGATGTCGCTTAAGATGGGAGCAACACATGACCCAATGCACACTCCAGACCGCTGTAGGTATGAAGAATCTTGCCATTTTACAAACAAGGCTTTCAGATAAAAGTCTAGTAGCTCCATGAAGCTTTCCGTTGAAGTACCACTCGAATTCTGAAACTTGATTTCTCCTGATTGTTCAATAGTTGATTTGACTGAAGCCAGGAGAGCATCCTGTGGAATGGAGTAATACAGGTCCACCACGTCTACGCTGAAGGCTCCTCTCTTCTGATTGGTGTCACTCTTCAAAAAATCAATTACCTCCTCGGAGTTGTGTATGAGGAACGGGTCAACTATGTTGAGGCTAGAGAGGTGAGTCTGGAGAGAGAGGGCGATCTGTTTCTGCCAAGTACCCCTTTCTGATACAATGGCCCTGAAGAGACCTGCATCTTTGTGGGTTTTTGCACTAAAAAATATATCCAGGTGCAAGCCCTCAGCTTTCTTTATTTTTACCGCCAGCTGATTGAGACTTAGCTTTTGACAGGTGGCATATGCTCTTTCCTTGATCTTTTTCAGTACTATGTCTACAGGCTTGAAATTTTTCATTACAGCAGCGTTAGCCTTTTCATTGTACATACCCTCGGGCATGACGACAAAGCCTCCTTCTTTATCTGAGAGCAGAAGTTTCTGGGAGTTTTGCCCTAAATATCTGACCACGGGTCTGACTTGAATGGGCTGTCTTCCTTTCTTGATGGAGCTTGTGATGACGTTCACACATTCTGAGATGCATCGGGGACGATCTGCTTCTGGAACTTTGAAGGCTACCTTCCTTGCCAAGGTTAGTAAAGCAGGTGGCTGTAAGGTGGGTTCCACGGAAAATTTAGGGCCTAGGTCTAAAGTCTTCCTTACAGGAGAAGGAATACTAACGTCGCCCAAGATGGTTGTTGTCCCTTTGACGGCAGTCAAGTTTCTCTTTTTGCAGAGCAGTTGGGGAAGAATCCCCCGCCAGAGAAATTCAGCAACTTGTCTCTCCGAATTGCTCATGTTGTAGAACAGCCTTCGTTGTTGGTTCTCGGTGCCTCCACGAGCAGCACAAGCCACTCTAAGGCATTCCTTGAAATGCCTTTCTTGCCGCCAGTA